ACTCACATTTAATTTGGGATTATACCCAATTTCAACCAACTCAATGAAAAGCTAGGCTCATTAGATTTTTTTTTAAAGAACCGAGTTCAAGCTGACTAGATCCCATTGATAGTCCTAAAAGGATTGCCTCCTCTAAAAAAAAAAAAAAAAATCAGTTTTTGCCGCGCATCCAATATGTGATAAAAAGTACTTTAAACCGTGGAAAATAGTATTTGCCACAAATTTGCAACGGTTTTGGAGGCGTCTTGTATACAGCTGCCGCAAATGCTTTGCAATAGTTCTGGATCCGTGATAAATACTTTTTACCACGGAAAAATCACAGTTTTACATTCGTCATAAAAGAACTGTGATATATATCATTGACTATTTACCACAGTTTTTAACATGGTTCGAAACACCAATACTTTTTTGCAACAAATTGCAGCCACGGTTTGGAAAGCATTGAGAAAGGTCTTTGTCATGGACTAATTTCACAGTTTTGGTTCTGTGGAGAAAGTTTCTGATTAATCATCCTAATTTCCAATGTTGTCTAAAGAAGGGCAAATTATATTTTATCCCCCTGTGGTTTAGTATTTTTTTAAATAACCCCCCTATGGTTTCCAAAGCTATACATAACCCGCTCATGATTTGGATTAAAGTATCAAAGTAACAGAAATAGTCATTTGTAATGGAACGTCTAAAAATTTCGAAATTACCCTTATAAATATATGACACACTAACCCTATATGATTTTTATATTTTACCATATAACTCCCTTATAGTTTAATACTTTATCATATAACTCCCTTATGATTTTCAAAATATACAAATATCCCTCCTTGGTTAATAAATAATTTTTAACTTTATATAAGGGTATTTTTGATATTTTAGGTGATTTCGTTACGAATGATCATTTGTATCACTTTGACACTTTGATCCAAACCATTAGGGGGTTATGTATAGTTTTTGAAACCATAGAAGGGTTATGTAAAAAAACACTAAACCACAGGGGGGTAAAGTGAAATTTGCCCTTAAAAGAAATATCAAAAGATAAATGTTTAAGATCTATTGTCATAATTTACACAAGTAAAATAGCTAAAGTTTTTATTAAAAATCTCACAAATAAGTGCGTACAAGTTACCAAAAACATAGCATATATTGCACGATATTATGCCAATCCAAAATGATTACCATTTGAAAGCTAATACAATGGTCTAACCCTTTAGAAGAACATCTCTAGTACACTAACATTTTGGGACCACCCAATAAAGATTTCATGACTACAAATAACTTCCAAAAACATCTGAGAACGAATGAGCTGGATGAAGTTTTTTACATTCCCCATCATTACTAATCGTAACCTACAAAACAATGTTAAAACTGTAATTAGTATCACATTATCACCAAAGAAGTTAAAAAAGCACAAAGTCAATATTAAAGTACGTTTAGAATCCAATTCATGAGCCCAAAAAAAAAAATACTAAGATCTGCTTTGTAGCCACTGTCACAACGCATAATTAAACATTGTTGAAATAATCTACTAGCACAGGCTGCTCAGACTAGTTTGCATAAGCAAGTAAACTTGGTTCAACCAACAACTCGGTTGAAGAAAGATATGCAGCACATATCAAAGTTACCACAATGATTAATCAACCGTGGCAAATAGTACCATAATTACCACTATTTATTGCTGTGACCAACAAAAGTGTGGTAAGAAGTTTTTTGACATCACGGTTGCTAAAACCATGTCAAAAAGTCACTTTTACACACGAATTGAGAACTATGACAAATGAAAGTGTGGTAATTGTTCACTTTTTTGGTAGTGCTCAGATTTTTGGGCTAATTCATTTCCCACTCAACAATAGTAAGAAAGGGAATTTAGGGATTGGATGATTAGAGTGGGGGCTTGCTTGGTTGGATAGGTTAATTTGGTAATTTTGATTATGACATGTGTTTTATTAGATATTAGGAATATGTGAATTTGCCAAAACTTATATGTCTTTAAGAATTTTAAATCTTTCTATTACTACTTCTCAAAATTTTCCAAAAGGAGAAACACAAATTTGATTCTCAATGTTTGACCTACACATCAAACTGGTCTCTAATGTATAGCCAAAACAAATCCGGTCTCTAAATTTTCTGATTTTAACTTTACATTTTTAGTCCCTAATGTTTGAAGTTTCAATCAATATGGTCTCTTAAGTTTCTAGTTATAGTTAAGGGTTTTAAAATGAAAGAAATGTTGTGCATTGAATTAAAGATATAACAAATGTCATCCTAAATTCCTATAAAATTTCATAAAAACACTTTATATCAACATAATAACATCATTGAACTTAAAGAGTTTTATTTTTTTTTGAATAAGTTACAATCAAATGACAATATATACATAATATATAAAATAAAAAAGGAAAATTCTAGTATTAATATAAAATTTATTATCATTCATGCTAGTTCTTGCATGACTTGTGCATATAGGCCTTAAATTATTATAGTTAGGAATTGCAATTATAAAAACTAGCAAACATAAATACTAATATGAAGTGCTTTTACTCATTATGGGTTAATCATCAGTTAATTAGTAATAATATAAAACAATGATCACATATATAATACCAAATTTGAGACCAATTATACCAAAGGGAAGAAGTATATGAGACATTAGTGGCATGAATAAATGAAGTAAAAAATAAAAAGTTTAATAAGAATTGCTAGTACCTATTTAAGACAATTGTGTTGTAATTCGCGTCTTATTATCCTAATACCCTCAATATCACTATTGAAAACTTAAGTGACCAAAATGATTAAAATTTTAAATATTAGGGTCCAAAAGTACAAAGTCAAAATTATTAAATAACAATAATTAAATTTTGACCGTTAGTCATTGTTGATTTTTCATCATTATTGAATGCACCTACTACCGAAAACTTTGAGAACCAAATTTATTTTGATTGGAACATTAGAAACTAATTTAGCACATATGCTAAAAATTGGAGACTGCAACTGCAATTCTCCCTTTTTCCAAAAGAAAAGTCTACACTTTTTTTTTGTCTTATTTTTGTGCACACGTCTGAATTTTTTTTTTAACCTTTGATATCACACAATGGTCCAAACTGACTGACATTAGTTAATAGATTTAGTTGTTAAAATGACTTTGTGAATTGTGAGGGGGGGTAATATGTAGAAAAATTCTGTTTGGTAGAATTTGGGTAAAAGGAAAGTGCGTTTGATAAAATTAAAGTTGAAAACTAAAGTGTGAAGTTTGAATTCTATAAAATTAAGTTGTTGAATTGTTAAGTATTAGGCTCTATTTGATAACTCAATTTAACATTTAAAATTAATGGATTCAGATATTAACATGTTTGGCACATTTGGTAACCAAAAATTGTACAACTAAATTAATTAAATGACGCTGAATTTTTTAGGCAAAATTTACTTCAAAAAATAAAGTTATACTGAATTTTCTAGGCTCCAATGTATCACATTTAGTATTTAATAATTAAATAATTTAATGAAGCCAAACTTTAGATTTATATTTTCATTTTGGAAGCAAATTTTGCCTAGGAAATTCAATGCCACTTAATTAATTTGGACCTTGTTTACTAACCCAATTTAACACTTAAATTTAATGGATTCAAATCTTAATATGTTCACATATGTTTGATAACGAAAATTGAATATTTGAATTAATTAAGTGGTATTGAATTTTTTAGCTAATTTTATCAAATGCACTCTTAAACCGTGGGAAATTGAGTTATCAAAGAGGGCGTAAATCATTTAGTATAAATCACGTTTTATATTAGTAAAGTTAGCGGAAGAACTAGGGCATATAACCTCATTTGCCATACAAATTACGGGCCTGTTTGGAAGCCAGGTTTTTGGACAAGTTTTTTACCTACTAGTTTTTTAACAACTTTTGTTACAGGAACCCAAAAAAACTTCTCAAAGTTTTTTACCTACACACTTAAAATATCCAAAGTACAAAAAAAAAAAAAAAATTCCCTTTCCCTTTTCTTTTCCTTTCTCCCCCGTCCCAACCTACCACCACCTCCGTTGCCAGCCACCACCTCCGCTGCCAGTTTCGGCGCTGATCACCTCTTCCGGTGCCGGTCTTCTTTTTTTTTTCCCCTTTTTCCCTTTCCCCCTCTTCCTCCCCTGCCATCCTTCCCTCTGTCTTTTTTTTTCCTCTCTTCGTCTCCCCCACTCCTCCCTCACCACCCTTCCCCTTCCCCTCTATTCGATCTGGTCGCGAGACCCAAATTGCACGGGGGAGGGTGAGGGTGGCGGGGGAAGTGGAGGAGGGGGGAGAAGGAAAATTGCCCAAAAACAAAATTTTCATTTCGCTGCTTCATCTGCAGGGAAGAGCAAGGAGAGAAGACGGGAGGAGAGGGAGAGGGAAAATGTGAAAAAAAGAAAGGGGCAGCGGGAAGGGGAACAAGGGAGGGGGAAGGGACAGAGAGGGTGGCGAGGGAGAGGGGGAAGGGGCAGAGGGCGTGGCGGGGGAAGGGCGTGGCGGGGCAAAGGGGAAGGGCAGCGGTGGTGGGAGAAAGGGGTGGTGGCCAGAAGGGGAGGCAAGGGGGGTGGCGGGCAGAGGGGGAGGAACGGAAAGGAGTGGCAGGGGAGAAGGGAGGAAAGGGGGTGGGGGAGGGAGAGGGAGGGGGGAGAGGAGAAAAGAAAAAAAAAAAGAAGAGAGGTGGTGCTGGCGGAGGTGCTGGAGGTGGGAGGCAGAGGTAACGGGGAATGGGGAGGGGGAAGGAAGAAGAAGAGAGGAAAGAAAAGAAAAAGGAAAGAAAGAAAAAGAAAAAGAAAGAGAAAGAGAAAAAGAAAGAAAAAAAGAAAAGGAAAAAAAAAATTTCACTTTACAAAAACTTCTACAAAATTTTTCACATTACAAAAACTTCTATAAAAAGGTTTTTCACCTTACAAAAACTTCTACAAAATTTTTTCAAAAACTTCTACATTGCACTACGGTAAAGTTTTAGACAAACTCCCAAAAAACTCAGGTTCTACAATGCATTAACTCAATAATACTGGGAATGAAACACCGATAGACTCAGAAAAGAATGGCGGAAAAACTTGTGAAAGAAAAAACAGAAGAAAAAGCAAAAGAATTGGCAACAGAAGCAATGAAAGTGGAACTGAAAACCAAGGAGGAGCTGAAGCCCTGGGAGCAGCACTCTACTGTGATCACCATTCCTCGCTTTGACTACAACGCCCCTCTTCTCTCCTCAGTCATTCCCACTCCGGATTCCTCATCACCTGCCCCATCAGTAAGGCCTCTCATCCCATCTCTTCTGTCCAGAAAGCTATGTTATATTTTTTGGCTATTTTTGTACTTTATTGGCATTTATTTATGTAATTTGCATCTGGGTTTCTGAAAATTTTCAATTTGATTGTTTGGGATAGTCTGGGCAGTGTGGTGATTGATAAAAATGCTTCCTTTGTTATGTAGAGAGGGAGAAGAGTGCAACAAAAGAAGCCATGTCAATTCTTGAAAAGGTAATGAATTCTGCTAGTTTTGTCTCTTGTCCGTTCTCTAGAATAATGTCAAAATCAGGAAATTTTAGACATAAAGAAAATTCATGCTGACTTGAGAATCAAGACAGTTAAATTGGTTTAGTGAACTTGGTTTTATGGGATTCTTAAATTCTGGGAAAGGTTGGGAACTTGGGGTATTTGGAAGTGAATAAGACTGTAGCGAACTTGAATTACTGGTATAATGTGTTCACTGCTATAATTGTTTTGGTTTAAGATGAAAGTAGCAATGTTACGGGATTGGTTTCTAAAGAAAGAGATGTTCGAAAGATTAAGCATAAGTAAACGGCGAATGGGACGGCGACTAATTGATAAAACTGAGGAAGTTTGGAGAAGATAGGCACAAGCATGTTGTGTTGTTCAAATGCATTAGGTATTGAGAGGGGGGTGGTGCAAGCAAACTAAAGTTGTTTACCATTTTAAACGTGATAAATTTTTGGAAATGAAGTGTAATGCTAATGGTCTTCATTTGTGAGAATAATGGCAAAATTATGCATTTAACACTATTTCCATCTGTTGAACTTAGTCTAGGAAAAACGTTTATGATTTTTGGGTTCTAAACTTGATTAAGATTTCGGTTTGCTGACAAACAGAAGGATAAGATGTCAATTATCCTGCCAATAGGTTATTAACATATGAGTCTAGTAGCTGGTTTCAAATTTTTTTGCATATGATCTTCCACTTCATCCATTTATTTGTAGCCGGTGCATTTTTAGGTCACAGATTTCTATGGTTTAGTCCTTGTTTACCAGTCTTATTCAACTTATTTTGCTTACACTCTGTCATTTGTCACTTGGTTCAATCGAGTGACTGCTTAAGTCTGTTGTGCCTTCTTGAGTAAATGACATGATTCGACATCCAAAATGCATCACTGGTTAAATTCTTTATCACTCACAGCTTTCCAGTATATATATATGAGTTACCAATTTCTTTGAATTTGAAGAGGCTTATGGATACATAGTAACCTTAGCTTAAGCTTGAGCACTTAACTCATACAGGTTAGGCACAAATTCATCTTACTAATACGGAACCTTTGGGTTGTTTTCTTTGAAAATAAATCAGAAACAATAGATAGAAGATATGCAATATTTTCTGGCATAAGAAAAATTTTTTAAATATAAAAGTGTTAGCCCCGATGCAACCAAATACAACCAAAATACTCAACCAGACAAGTAGTCAAGTAAATACAATGACAAAGAATATAAGCAATTTTAAAGCACAAAAATAGAGTAACAATAAAGTAAAAGAAATTCAAACCAATCAAACTCCCAAGCTTCTTCCAAACTTGGAGTTGAATCCACCAAATAGCTTCTTTAATTGATGGTAGTGCTAACCAACTTGTACAAGTGAAGGCTCACTCCTTCCTCACCCCAAACATACTTTGGTTGACCAAAGGAATTTTACTACTCTCCAAGTAAACCCTCAACTAGCTACAATTGAAAGCTTACCCACTCAATTAAGAACTACTTTATACAAGTGAGGCAACCTTTATCAAGGTTTTACCACTCCAAGTGATAGGTTCACCTTCACCAAGGTTTTACTCCTCCTAGAGAGTAACCTTCACTTGAGCAACCTCACAACCTAACTTTCCCAACCCCTTATACAACCAACAAAGAATATTTCTACTCAAAGATCTCACTTGCAAGCTTGTATTTAGTGTTGGCAAAAGTCTATGTCTTCTTGTGTTTTGGGGTATTTATAGAAGGTGAGAAATAGCTCCAAAAGGCTCTCCAACGGTCAAATATTAAATGCTGTCGAAACTAGCCGTTGGCCTGTCGGACGTCCGAACCATGCGTCCGAACCACCTATCGGACGTCCGAACCATTTGTTCTGCGTCCGAACCCTGCGTCCGATAGAAGTCAGAATGTTCAACTTTCATTCTTTTTGTGTCGGACGGCCGAAGCAATGAATGAGCGTCCGATCCAAGCGTCCGAAGAGTATTGTCGTTTGTCGGACGTCCGATCCTCTATCGAGCGTCTGATCCTCTACGTCCGAACCTTCATATTTCTTAACTTCTCTTTGATTCAAATCTTTTCGATTCTCTTTTGGATCAATGACCTGTTCTAACAAATTTCTCACATAAAAACATTAGTCCAAATCTACATTTTGGTTTGTTAATCATCAAAACCAAGGACTGATCAATCAAGGTCAACAATCTCCCCCTTTTTGATGATGACAAACAAAATGAAGATTTCTTTGATCAAATAAGTTCAAATAAAACACCCCCTTAGAAAATGCCAACATACAAAGAAATTTCAATAAATCCTACTCCCCTTTTTGGCATCAATCAAAAAGCAAACTCCCCCTTTATTTTTCAAATCAAGACCATATTGAATGTCAAAACTTTCAAATGTACTTTCAACCATTTAGCACTTTTGGATCAAATCTTCATGATGTACCTAAGTATGAGAAATTTCATTTGGTATTTTTTCTTTATAGGGTCCTTGGGAGTTAGTACAACATGATCTAGCAATCCACATGGATTTCATACATTTTTTCATATTTTTCTTTACATAGCAATCATTTTGCATATGTCCAAATTGGCAACAAAAGTGACACATGATATAAGTATTTTGCACATAAGTGGATTTAATGCAACTAATTTTCTTACTTCTTATCATAACAAACTTATTTGTGCCTTGAAAAGATTTGCTTTCTTTTGTTTGAGAAAACTTTTGTTTTTCATTTTGGAGAAACTCGTTCAAGTCATTAATTCTTTTCTTTAACAAATTTTGTTCCTCCAACATTTTTTCATAAAACTTTGTTTTCTCTTCCAACTTCCTTTTCAAATTATTTTTGCAATCAAAAACACCTTTTTGATTTTTCAAATCATCATTTTCCATTCTCAAACATTTGTTTTCTTGAAAAAGTTTGGAGTTTTCTTCCAACAAATCATTTATTTTTGTTCTCAAATCTTTATTTTTAGCATAAGATTCTCTCAAACTTTTATGCATTTTAATCATAAGAATTTGCACATCATCATCTTCATTATCTTCATCACTAGAAGAGTTATAAGAATTTACCTTATCTTTTCCAAAGGCCATTAATGCCATTTGGGCCAACTCTTCTTTTTCTCTTTTTGAATTGCATTCATCCCATGTAATTTTGCAATCTCCTCTTGAACTTCTCTTGTTGAAGATCTTTTTGAAACTTTTGATGTGAGGAGTTATATCATTGTCCACTTCCATGTTTTCATTACCCATGAAGGATGGGTTATCCCCCACTTGAGATGCTTTAAAAGCTATGCCTCTCTTATACATTCTTGCATTTTCTTCCTCTTGCACTTTGAATTTCAGCTTTAATTCATAAGAGGTTAGGGAATTCACAAGAGATTCAATGGACATAGAATTTAAATCCTTTGCCTCTTCTATAGCATTTATTTTGTTTTCCCATTCTTTTGGTAAGGCATTCAAAATCTTTCTATTTTTCTCACCCAAAGAATATTCTTTTCCAAGCAATTTAAGATCTTGAATAATGTCACAAAATCTACTACACATCTTATCAACATTTTCAAGAGGATGCATTTTGAAAAATTCATATTGAGAAACAAGGAAAGATTTCTTTTGTTCTTTAATATCTTGGTTACCTTCATAAAATTCACACAATTTATCCCAAATATCTTTAGCTGATTTACAACCTTTAATTCTACTAGATTCATTTACATCTAATGCATTGCACAATATATACATGGCCTTGGCATTCAAAGAAAGGTATCTCTTGTCTTTTTCATTCAATTCTTGTCTAGTCTTTAATCTATTCAAATTAGTGGTAGAGTCAACTATTCTAGCTTCATAAGGACCATCTTCTACCATATACCATAATTCAATATAAACGGATTGTAAGAAAATCATCATTCTTTGTTTCCACATGCTAAAATGAGAACCATTAAACATAGGTGGTCTATCAATAGATTGCCCTTCTAAAAAAGAAACATTTATGGTTGCCATGATCTTTACTCTAAGCGGTTAAGCTTAATCTCTAGGAGACCAAGCTCTGATACCAATTGTTAGCCCCGATGCAACCAAATACAACCAAAATACTCAACCAGACAAGTAGTCAAGTAAATACAATGACAAAGAATATAAGCAATTTTAAAGCACAAAAATAGAGTAACAATAAAGTAAAAGAAATTCAAACCAATCAAACTCCCAAGCTTCTTCCAAACTTGGAGTTGAATCCACCAAATAGCTTCTTCAATCGATGGTAGTGCTAACCAACTTGTACAAGTGAAGGCTCACTCCTTCCTCACCCCAAACATACTTTGGTTGACCAAAGGAATTTTACTACTCTCCAAGTAAACCCTCAACTAGCTACAATTGAAAGCTTACCCACTCAATTAAGAACTATTTTATACAAGTGAGGCAACCTTTATCAAGGTTTTACCACTCCAAGTGATAGGTTCACCTTCACCAAGGTTTTACTCCTCCTAGAGAGTAACCTTCACTTGAGCAACCTCACAACCTAACTTTCCCAACCCGTTATACAACCAACAAAGAATATTTCTACTCAAAGATCTCACTTGCAAGCTTGTATTTAGTGTTGGCAAAAGTCTATGTCTTCTTGTGTTTTGGGGTATTTATAGAAGGTGAGAAATGGCTCCAAAAGGCTCTCCAACGGTTAAATATTAAATGCTGTCGAAACTAGCCGTTGGCCTGTCGGACGTCCGAACCATGCGTCCGAACCACCTATCGGACGTCCGAACCATTTGTTCTGCGTCCGAACCCTGCGTCCGATAGAAGTCAGAATGTTCAACTTTCATTCTTTTTGTGTCGGACGGCCGAAGCAATGAATGAGCGTCCGATCCAAGCGTCCGAAGAGTATCGTCGTTTGTCGGACGTCCAATCCTCTATCGAGCGTCCGATCCTCTACGTCCAAACCTTCATATTTCTTAACTTCTCTTTGATTCAAATCTTTTCGATTCTCTTTTGGATCAATGACCTGTTCTAACAAATTTCTCACATAAAAACATTAGTCCAAATCTACATTTTGGTTTGTTAATCATCAAAACCAAGGACTGATCAACCAAGGTCAACAAAAAGTAATTTAATAAGTGTATCGTTATATTTCTCTAAAGAATGACATGGTCTTAAGTGATCATATTTCTGGAAGGAGAAGACCGTTAGTCTAATTTTGTTAGGCATTTGAGACATCAGATATTATATGCATGAAATATATAGCTGATCGCCAATCATCTATTTTGAGTTCTCAAGAAATAGATATATAAGCTTCAGTTTTGCTTTTAACATTAAAAAGGCATTCTTCATTGCAACAGCTTTGGATAATTGTCTTTTATTCATACCTAAAGGGACTTGTATATGCATGAGATGTTGCACTCTTCTAGGGCCCAAATAATAAGTGGACAATTTAGAGTTAGGTTAAAATCTTGTGGCAGACAACTTGTTTGGAATTGTTTTTGGATATATTTACACCAGAAGCCAAGCGTTGCTGAGGCTTATCACCATGTGACAGAAATGAATGAGTTTCAGTTATATTTGAAGTCCTCTCCAATGCCTGTATCATTTTTATTTCTTGGACCTCTCTTGTTGCAAAAGGAAGACAAATGATGAACCAACTTGGAGAATGGGGAGGTGTGCATCTGGTGCTTGCAAGATTCTATTCTTTTGACTTCACGGAGTTTTTATAAAAGCTGTGTGCTGAAATAGGGCTTCAAACTGATGTTGGTATATTGATACATTATGCATTCCATTCTTTTTTTATGAATGCCATCAATATTCACGATTGATGCAACCAATGAAGAGTTTAAGGGAAGAGTAAATTTTAATATTCTTGAGAACTTGGCTGAAGATCCAATTTACCCACTTTGAAGAATGGGTAATCTTTTTGGGATCTCGTGTATTTATTAAAAATTTAAATTCTATGTATTTCAGTAGACTTAAAATTTATGGTGCTTTAGTAGCTTATGGGTATTTTACGTGTTATGGGTATTGGGTAAACTGATAGTGGACACTTCGGCCGTTGTTTGAGACCGTAGGCTTATTCATTGACTTTGATGGAAGGGTTTTTAATTGAAATGTTGGGATTCATCACCTCAATTTCCTGTCATAAGATATTCTGGTCCCCCAGGCTCAGCTGAAGCCCGGTACATATTGCATGTACTATTGTACACACACCCACAGACCCAGGTGTGTTAGGCCATCCGTGAAGGACTTATTTAAGTTATTCATTGGTGAATTTTTTGTGCATCTTTGTCTTGGAAGTGATGTCCTAAACCTTTGTGTCATATGTGGCTTTCTTCCTGACTTTTTACTCTCATCTTCCATTGCATGTGGTAGTTTCTTTTCCTGTCCTTGAATATACACCAATGAGGAAGTAAGAGTTCAACCTATCTTCCCCACTGTCAAATAACATTCAGTGTTAAAAGCTTGTGTTCAAATTTTGTATGAATGAGTTTGCTGCTTTTAAGACTATTAGTTAAAAGAGTTCAGGACATTTTTTACTGATCAGCAGCCTGTGTAAGTCAGAAGCTATTTTAGTGTGCTTCTAATGGATTTCAAAAGCTGGGGAAGTGCTTTGTTATCTGGACATGGGTCATAAGCTTGAAGCATGCTCTATGTTGTTGGAATAGTGAGTTGCTGAATTTGTGCACTAAATAGGGCTCTAGGATACAATTGGTGCAGAAAATTAGAACAGAAGTAAGGAAGAAGAAATTTAGAAACCGTTGCATCCATGGGGATACTATTTTGTACCAATTCTCCTTTTCAAACTGCCAACATAGAGATCTGATACATCAGTCCTACAATGGACAACCTTGCATATTCTCCAAATCTTATGTTATTTTCATATGCATCAATAACTTTCTGTATTCGTCTACTTCCATTAGTTGCAAGTATAGAAGACTTTTATATCCTGATTGTTGATTGACACCTGAAGAATTCCATGAGAACAGAAATATCTGCGACCAATTGAACTATTGACTTCTAAAGATGAGAATCCCTCTGAATCCTCCTATGGAGATAAGAGAATTATGCATCAAATATAGATAATCTTTTCTTGCTGGTGGTGATCTATTGTCTTTCCTTACCTTTTCTTTTCATTAATTTTTTACAAAATTTGATTGACTTTTAGCACTTTTGATCTTAGAAGAATGCTTCTTTCTACAACTTTTTTGCTAACCCGGTTCTATCTTGATAGCTGTATTAGTTTATGAAATCTTGGTTAAAAAAGTGACAATTAGCACAAGGATAATCAAAAATTGATTGTACAATAGATGGTCTAAGGGCAGAATACTCGAGCTTGGGAGCAATTCTGACATAATTGTTTGATATGATTGTTAGCAGAGAAATTGCAGTTTAATGAAATGTAATTCTTGAAGACAATAGCCTATGGCTTTTATATACTTATGCTACTGAACTTGTGCAGAATCAGCATGCATGATATTTCTTCACCATCTTTTTTTTTTTTGTTTATAGATGATCTGATTGATTCATCCAATTTCATATTTCTGAACTATCTCAATGGGAAACCTACTTGCAGATAATGCAAATTAACATGCGTGATGACCTGCAAATCTACAAAGAAAATGAAGAGGGTGGGGATTTGTCTGTAAGAACAGGTAATGCGACTTGTATGCATAAAAAAATAAGAACAAGTTTATTAAAACAACAAGAGCCAGAATCTAATGGAAAATTCTGAACTTTTTTTGTCAGTGGCTGTTTAGCTTCTTTAACTTTTGGTTCTGAGCCAGAGATTCCACAACTAGCGCAAATTTTGCACCATGGCATGTCCTGCTTGAAATGGTTATATTTTTCATGGCAATATTGAGTGTTGTGACCGGCTTGATTGAGAAATTCATCTTCACGGGCTTAGGAAGAGGGCAAGAAGCATTGATGGTCAACTTCACTATCCTGCTCATCCTCCTTTTTGGAGTATCTGTTGGTTTCACTGTTCTTCTTCCAAGAAGTTATTAAAGAAGTAGTCATTGGAAAATCTTGTAATGTTTGGTTATATTTATATATAGTTTGGCCCAATATTGCAGCTAGACTAAACATTTTGTTAGAGTAATGATTCCCATGTTTGTTACAAGTGTTCTCAGTATTTGAATAGTTTATTTGGTCAAATAGTTCTTTTAAAACCTGCATTTTATGCATGAGATTTGTGACATTGGCATATGAACTTTTTTGGGACTATTGGAGCAGGAAAATGACCATCATTTGTGTGTAGTAAAAAGTAAGGGTGTGCAAACTCGAAAAATTTTGATTTCGAAACCGATTTCAAATTGAATTCGGAATTTCGAATTCAGAATTTTGGTAATTCAGAACTGAAATCGGTAATTCCGTTTTCGAATTGGTCGAATTCGAAAATAAAAATTTTAAAATCAGAATTACCGATTTCGAATTGGGATATTCGAATTAGGAAATTCGAATTCGATTTCTAATAATAATATTTAAATATAATTATAATATAATAGTTTTTAACATAATAAGTTTACTAATTGAAATCGAGCTTCCGAGTTCCGACAAATTGAGCTTCCCTATCTGCAAAAACCTAATTTCTCTTAACTCACCTTGAGCTTCCGCCGCGCCGCCTCTTCCTTCATCGCCTCTTCGTCACTGTCTTCGTCACCACTTGACTCACCGAGTCATCGACAAAGCTTACTCTCTCTCACTCTCTTTCACCGACTCAGTTTACTCTCTCACCGACACCCCTACTCACCGCTTCCATCGCCTCTTTCACCTCAGAGATTTCAATCGTGATTTGCATCACACCTGAAATTGAACACCGGTGTTGATTTGTCAAGCCGAAATGTTTGACTTGTGTATGGCAAAATTTTTGTCCCACATCAGATGCTGCGTAAGGAAGTTTTTTTCTTCCATCCCACATCACAGTAGACAGCAGGAAAGGTTCCTTCAGTAAGCCTATAAATATAGGAGGCGTATGAAGGAATAAATCGCACCACTCAAGAGAGTATTATATGGGCTATTAATTTCTTGAGTCATCTAACCCATTTAGTCAAATATTTTAGGCTCGCTTGTTTTGAATTTAGGAATATTTTATAAACTCTTTTGTAAGTGCCTATTGGCCTAAGAACCACTTTCTTACGGCTTTTGTATTTCTTTTTCATAGTAGAAATATTGCCCCTCCTCCGCCCGTGGACGTAGGTCAATTTGACCGAACCACATAAATCTTCTGTGTATTTTATTTGCTTTGTTATTTATCTTTATTGGGTTGCCACAACCCTTTTATATGGTCGATTTTACCGCCTAATTATTATATGGCCGGTGTCTACCGCCTAATTTATGCTAACTTTTGTTGGTTTATTCCTGGGCCAGTCCTAACAAACTGTTATCAGAGTTGGTTGTTATATTTTGTAAGACAGGTTCATCTGGTGGGGCCCGCTCACTTTGTGGGGCCCGTTCATCCCGTGGGTTCCACTCACCTTGTGGGGCCCGTTCATCTCGTGGGGCCCGCTCACGAGACTTGCATATTTGTTTAATTAGTTTTTGAGACAAACTTCAAGTTATAGATTTTGTGGCAACAATGACGATAACAAAGACGGTTGTCGAGAAATTCGACAAGAATGTCAACTTCGGGATGTGGCAGCTCAAGATGGAAGCCATTCTTGTTCAAGACGGAATTGATTTGGCAATTCAGGGAATGTAGAAAAAGCCAGAAGATGTAAAGGATGCGGATTTCGCCGATATGGATAAAAAAGCCAGATCCAGCATAATCTTAAATCTCTCCGATGAGGTATTGCATGAGGTAGCAACGGAGATTTCGGCCAAAGGTATGTGGGACAAGCTTAAGGCCTTGTATATGAAGAAGACAGTTGAGAATCGACTATATTTGAAGCAGAGCCTGCATATGCTTCGGATGTCTGAAGGTACTTCTATACTCTCCCATCTTGATAAATTTGATTCCATTATTATGGATTTGGAAAATATAGATTCGAAAATTGATGATGAAGATCAGGCCCTATTACTTTTGTGTTCCCTTCCCCCGTCCTTTAAGCATTTCCGTAATACTATGATTTATGAAAAGGAAACAATTTCATATCGAAAAATTAAATCTGCATTAAAATCTAAAGAGCAGATAGATAGGGATATTATTAGGAAAACTAGTGGGAATCAAGCCGATGGCTTGTTTGTTCGAGGTAGATCTGAAAAGAGAAACACAGAAAATAGAAGTAGATCCAAATCTAGACATAAACATGTGGTGTGCAATTATTGTAAAAAGAAGGGTCATGTTATCTCTGATTGCTTTAAATTGAAAAATAAAGAAAAGCAAAAAGCGAAATTTGTTGAGAAAAATATTGAATCTGCTGAAACTAGTATAGCAGCTGATGAGAATGATGGAACCATTTTCTGTGCAACGGAAAGTATTTTTAGGTCTAACAATGAGTGGATTTTAGATTCGGATTGTTCATATCATATGTTTCCCAATAGGGACTGGTTTTCAACATATGAATCAACTGAAGGTGGAGTTGTCTTAATGAGTAACAACGCCGTTTGTAAAGTTGTTGGTAAAGGTACAACCCGGATTAAAATGTACGATGGTATTGTGAGGACACTCACAAATGTTAGACATGTTCCAGATTTGAAGCAAAATCTCATCTCTTTAGGCACTCTTGAGTCTATTGGGTGCAGGTATTCAGGTGGAGATGGAATTCTCAAAATCACTCGAGGTGCTCTTGTTGCTATGAAGGCACACAGATCTGGTACTTTATATATTTTGCAGGGATCTACTGTTACAGGTGCTGCTGCTGTTTCAACATCATCTTTGTCAAATACAGACATCACCAAATTATGGCATATG